GACATACAATTCTGGTGTAAAACTTCAGAATGTATTACATTCTGAAGTGGGTTGTTATCTGTTGCCAATATTCTATAATATAACATTTATTTTTTTTATTTTTTTTAGGGATCTACCGTACTTCCTGAATTTTGGATTTAAACATTCTGAAAACATACGACTGCTAACTTGGTATTGTTTAGCACATAATGAATCCCAGAGGAGACAAGCTATATGAGTATTTAGAGAGTGAGAAAACTTTAATTTCAATGTCATTTCTAACAATTCCCCAGAAGATTCATAATGAAGAGAACTCATTTAACAATGACTTAAAACATGAGGCACATCTTACTCAACACCAGAGGAGACACACTGGAGAGAAGATATTTGAGTGCTCAGAATGTGAAAAGTGTTTCACAAAAAAGGACAATCTTAATAGCCACCTGATGACTCACACTGGAGAGAAACCATTTACATGTTCAGAATGTGACAAGAGCTTCACTACTAAGGGAAATCTTACTGTTCACCTGATGACTCACACTGGAGAGAAGCCATTTAAATGCTCAGAATGTGGCAAAAGCTTTGCAAGAAAAACAGATCTTAACAAACACCAGAGTATTCACACTGGAGAGAAGCCATATAGATGTCGAGAATGTGGAATGTGCTTCACACGAAAGGAAAGTCTTACTATTCATCAGATGACTCACACTGGAGAGAAGCCATATAGATGTCGAGAATGTGGAATGTGCTTCACACGAAAGGAAAGTCTTACTAATCACCAGAGGACTCACACTGGAGAGAACCGATTCAGATGTTCAGAATGTGACAAGTGCTTCACAACTAGGGGAAATCTTACTCAACACCAGAGGGTCCACACAGGAGAGAAACCATACAGATGCTCAGAATGTAACAAATGTTTCACCACCAAACCTCAGCTTAGTACTCACCTGAGGACTCACACAGGAGAGAAACCATTTGAATGCTCTGAATGTGGAATTTGTTTCACACAAAAGGATGGTCTTACTATTCATCAGATGACTCACACTGGACAGAAGCCATATAGATGTCCAGAATGTGGAATGTGCTTCACAGGAAAGGAAAGTCTTACTATTCACCAGAGGACTCACACCGGAGAGAAGCCATATAGATGTCCAGAATGTGGAATGTGCTTCACACGAAAGCAAAGTCTTACTATTCACCAGAGGACTCACACTGGAGAGAATGGAGAGAAGCGATTCAGATGTTCAGAATGTGACAAGTGCTTCACAACTAAGGGAAATCTTACTGAACTCACCTACACACCTACACACACTCACCAATATCTATCTATCTATCTATCTATCTATCTATCTATCTATCTATCTATCTATCTATCTATCTATCTATCTATCTCTACACCGGTGGACACCCCGCCATGTCTTCATTGCGCGTGCGCGGTCATCTTATTGACGCCTGCCGGTGGCCATCTTGGTGATGGACGACAGCAGAGAGAGGAGGGGATGTTTACCCGGTGGGAGGAAGTATGCCGCCGGGTCCCCTCCACGGTCCTGACACTGTCAGGCTCTCGGTCCGTGACCGAGTGCCCGACATTTTAGAGGGGGTGACACCAAAATGACTGTCACCTCACCTTTGGTGTCACCTGGTGTGTGACTGTCAGTCATTTTAGTGTCACCCCTTCAATGGTGTCACCGGGGTTTACTATTTCAAATGTACTGTTCCCGGAATACAGAAAGATATTTATCTGATAAATAAACTGAACAAGTCTATTTGTAAAAATGAATAAATGCTGGTAGGAAATTGGTATTAATAGGGCAGAGAAACTTGCTTTGGCACGTTCTCTCTCTCTCTCTCTCTAAATATATACATGTTTATATATCTTTCTATAGTAGACTAGATGAGATGGTAATAAACCCCTTCCCACTAACACTTTATCATTGTTCCCCAGCATGATGCACTGTGTCATATTATGTGGTATATTAATAAATGCCCTCCCTTTGCAAAGTAAACAGCCAACAACTTCAATCCCAGCTGGCATTGACATCCAGGGTCCACATTGACAATAAGGAACCAGTCAGAGTGGTTCCCAGACATGTGACCACAATGCCAGCTCTGACAGGGATCACGGACATGCTGGAAGCTTTTTATAGCAATCAAACTAAGACTTTGCTCACCTTCGATTTTGATGAACCTGGAATGTAATAAGCCAACTAACAATTCAGTCAGCTCTAGGAATTTGTAGATAATGTCCATAGGTACATTTTAAGGGCTGATTCACAGCACCTGGTGAGTTACATCCAGAGAACAGATCACTGCTGACCCCATGACCAGCTTCATTCATATCTATGGATATAATTGCCCATCATATAAATATGTCAGCAGATAACAAACTGGCATGCCTTTGTTTGGAAATGTAACTTTTTTTAGTTAACTCTTGGTCCCCAAAAAAGTGCAAGTGCGATCATACGGCTGATTCTGCTTGTTTGCGGCTATATAAGAGCTACAAATGAGCGTAATCCATGTAAATGAAATAATTTAGTGTTTGCGTCGCTGGGCGGTCTTCTGAGCAGTCTTCCGCACGGGAAATGCAAACGCTATATGTGAAGAGAGCCTTAGGCACTGATGGTTTTAGAATAGTGCTTTTTGTTTGGGGGTCCCTCTCTATGCATCCTCACATACAGAAAAGCATTCAGTATAACATCATCTTCATGGTGGCAGCACACTCAATAGATCTCAAGCCATGAGGAAACCAGCCAAAGAGCCAATAGAAGATATCACTTCTTGCCATTTAAATAAATAACTTGCATGGGTATAACTTTTTTGATTAAAAACAAACAAAACAAAAGGTCATATCTTGTTAATGTGCTTTTTTTGTACAACCTGACTTACTACAATAAGATCCCTTAATTCTTAATCCATCTTTGCAGATATACTCACTGTAAAAGACACCTCATGACCATCTTCATTCATATCTATGGATATAATTGCCCATCATATAAATATATCAGCAGATAACAAAACTGGCAGCTAGAAAATGATCAAGAATACATATCTGTACCCTGCAACGTTCTGTGCTAATCCAGGTGTGTCTGTGCAACCTCTCCATTCATACATAGGGATTTGATGGCTATTATAATAATCAATGTATTTGCAGAAACAGAGCAGCAATGTGAAAAAGCAGCTCACAGACCTTTACACTGCAAGAGCTGTTCTTGCATGCAGGATAAAATGCACTTTTTATGCCTTCAGACTAGATAAATCCCCAAAAACATGATATACTTTCTGACAGAAGAGACCCAGTTGAATAAAATGGCGGCAGTTGAATTTTTTTTATGTTGCACGATATTTGTGCCACTGTTTATCAAACCCAAATGTTTAGTTAAAAAGGCATTAACATTCATTTCCATGCACCCAAACACTATATAAAACCTAATGTTTGGTAAAATAGAAAGGATAAGGTTATGATCACAAAAAAAACAAAGGGTGATTTTAAAGTCACACACCCATGACATGGCAACAGACTTTGATGCTCAAAATTATCCACAAGTGACTGCTAAATAAGCCTTTACAAGTCATTAGTTTTGCATTAACTATAAATAATAGCCCTTCATTAATGCTCTTAAGGTGCCCATACACTGCACGATTCTCGTACGAGAATCAAGGGAAATCCCGAGATCGTACGAGAATCGTGTAGTGTGAATGAAGACGTGTGACAGTTTCTACTGTACGGTCGCATGTCTTTTGTCTAAGGAGCATGCTAGAAAACCAGCCGAAAATCGTATGATTTTCGGCTGGTTTGAATGATGCTCAGGAGACAAATGCCGTACGGGCCGGTGTACGCACGCGCACACTGCCCATTCAGCATTGCCCATTCAGCATTGCGGTCATCAGAAGCCTGCCCCTCGGGCTTGTGATGATCGCAAGTACGATCTGCCTGTCCAAGATGGGCAGATCGTACGTTTTTTAAATTATTTTACAATCATCGCAAGACTACGGTCTTGCGATGGTTGTAAAGTGTATGGCCACCTTTACTCCGGCATGCATGGTGATACGTAACACATGTAGAGTAATCGTCATTTTCATATGTAGGTGCACATGATGAAATTGAGACGGTAGGTACTGTATGTATATCCATGCATATGGGGGTGGGGTTTTCATCTTGTTGGTGTTTTTTGGGGGGCTTTTTTTAATTACTTTTTTTACTTAACTTTTTTGCTATCACATGAGAGGCTAAGAGCCCCATCAATTTGTCCGACTTTGTTACTGAGACAAAAATTTGTGAGAAATCTCCCCAATAGTACACAGACAGGAAAACTTAAATTCAGAAGGGTGGTAACCTTTCCTTATTTTACCCAAAACTGCAAAACACTTTTAACAAAGACTCTCCAGTTCCTTCTGTCATTGATGGTACAATGATAGTGTTCATGCTAATGATGAGAGGCAACTCCCAGTCATTTACAATGAAGGTTCCCTCCTATTGTCCTCCCTCCACATGTTATAATGTTAATGAACTTGTTCTGGTTGTGATTAGGGCGGAGTGCTGAAACAAAGAAAAGCTGTAACTGCCCCATTACAATGTAAACATTCCTTTTGTGAAGTAGATCTCACCTTTTCAGCCAATGGAGATCCAGCACATGTAAGTGAATGGTGGTGAAATGAATATAAGGTGAGGCTGGGCTCAGTCAGTTACAAGAACTGCTGGTCAAGAGAACAAGAAGCTTCTATAGTACATCATTCTACATTATACCGGGTAGGTGCACTCTGTGTGATTGTGGACTTAATAATTAAGATGTTTTTTCTTTGAACATTGAACTGAGAGATATGCTGGCTGTAGGTGGAGTATATCTTGATGCTCTTCTTATAAGGTTTAGGAGGTATATAAACACATGTTGGCAGCAGATAATGTCAGTTACCAAACTGATAATCTGGACACATTGCCTCTCTCAGAATATTTACCCAGTTTGGCATGAATCCGACTGTTATAAACTCCACTCCACAGGTTTCTCGTTGCACTTCTGGAAGGATTGCAGATTATTGTCACATGACTCTGAGTTATACATAAAAATACCTTATGAACAATAATAAAGCATATTTATAGACAAGCATGTTTTTTCAGTTTTTGATAGAGTGGGGAAGGATTAGAACTCCTGCTGAGATGATGTTGTTATCCGGAGCTTTGTTAGAGAGATTTCCCCTTGCTTACTTTTTCCTATGAATGGGAGAAAACCTTTCAACCAGACAGGAAGTGAAGGGACTCTCCAACGCAAAACAGAAAAAAGTACAACTTTTTGTTTGTTTAATTAAGCTGGGAAATGCTAGAAACTAGGGTTGCACAGATACCAAGTACAGTACTCGGTGCAAGTACGAGTACATGTACCAATACTTTTGAGCTCCAAGACTAGATCAGAGAAAAATTCAAAAGTTAGGAGGCAGATGTCATTTGTAA